TGATTTTTTGGAGGGGTGTTATAGAACCTTGTTTTGTTATATTACCAGAGCTAGTTTTCTGGTTCCTTCTCCTTTAGGTAAGCTTGTCGGAGGGGAGGTCTAGGCCTGAAGGCTATTGTTGAGGTTCTTTTGTCCCACAGTATGTTCCCTTGATGTAGTACTCTCTCCCTTTTCCTATGGGTGTGGCTTCCTGAGAGCTGAGCTGCAGTGATTGTTGTCTCTCTTCTCGGTCTAGCCACCCACCAAATTTACCTGGCTCTGGGCTGGTACTGGGGGTTGGTTGTCTGCATAGCAGAGTCCTGTGATGTGAACCATCCTTGGATCTCTCAGCCCTGGATACCAGCACCTGTTCTGGTGGAGGTAGCAGGGAGGTGAAATAGATTCTGCGAGGGTTCTTAGCTTAGGTGGTTTAATGTTCTGTTTTTGTGCTGGCTGGCCTCCTGCCAGGGGGTGCTGCTTACCGTAGAGCATCAGCTGTGGCAGCATGGGGAGGAACCGGTGGTGGGCGGGGCCCTAGAACTCCCAAGGGTATATGCCCCTTGTCTTCAGCTACCAGGGTGGGTAGGGAAGGCCCATCAGGTGGGGGCAGGGGTAGGTGTGTTTAAGCTTAGACTGTCTTTGGACATTCTTGCTGGGACTGCTGTGGAGGATGGGGGTGAGGTTCCCGAGTCACTGGAATTGTGTACCTAGGAGAATTATGGCTGCTCTGCTGAGTCCTGCAGGTTGTCAGGGAAGTGGGGGAAAACTGGCAGTTACAGGCCTCACCTGTCTCCCACACAATCTGAAAGGCTGGTCTGACCTGCACCGTGCCCTCTCTAACAGCACCGAGTGTGTTTCTGGGCCGTGGGTGAGCAGGGCTTGAGAACTTGCCCCAGAATGCCCACCTCAGCTGTGAAAGAAAAAGGCTTTGATTCTTCCCCTGCCCATGGAATCTGCATATCAGATTAATGGCATCTGCCGAGTTCTGGCCAGGAGGCTTCTCAATCAGTTCAAATTGTTATAAAATTCAGCTGGAGATCTCCTTCTCCCTGTGGCCTTTTCCCAGTGCTTCTGGCCGCCCTCCTGAAGGTCCTCTGTGAGGTCAGGCAAAAACGGCTTGGTAAGGGACCCAGCGAGCTTCCAGGGGTTTTCCTGCTGCCTCCTCTGCCCCTGTATGATGCTGGGCTCTCTAAATTGACTGAGCTCCAGGTAAGGTCAAAATCTTCTCTTGTAATCTAGGCCTTCAGCTTCCTGGACGATCTCCCTTTCCCACTTCCACAGTTTGGGCATCACAGTATTTGGGGTGTCTGCCGGGTTCCGCAGGAGCCATCCACTTCCTTCAGGGGGTCTGCGGATCTTCTCAGGTTTCCTGATTTATTCCTTCAGTCGTTCTAGAGCAAAAATTCATGATGGGAGCCTCCACATGCTGCTCTGTCCGTCCAAGTCGGAGCTGCAATCTAGTCCTGGCTCCTGTCTGCCATGATCCCTGTGATATTTTGTTTTCTGTTCCTGTGTTAGTTTCCTAATAATGGTCTCCAACTTTATCCATGTTGCTGCAAAGGACATGATCTCATTCTTTTGTATGGCTGCATAGTATTCCATGGTGTATTTTTTGTACCACATTTATTTTATCCAATCTGCCATTGATGGACACTTAGGTTGATTCCATTTTTTTTTTTTTTTTTTTTTTTTGCTATTGTGAATAGTGGTATGCAATGAACGTATGCATACATGTGTCTTTATAACGGAACAATTTATATTTCTTTGGGTATATATCCAGTAATGGGATTGCTGGGTCAAATGGTATTTCTATTTTTAGGTCCTTGAGGAATTGCCACACGGTCTTTCACAATGGTTGAACTACTTTACACTCCCACCAACAGTGTATAAGTGCTCCTTTTTCTCTGCAACCTCACCAGCATCTGTTATTTTTTTTTACTTTTTATTAATAGCCATTCTGACTGTTGTTACTGGGTCTCTCATGGTGGTTTTGATTTGCGTTTTCTGTAATGACTAGTGATGTTGAGCTTTTTTTGGTATCACTGTTGGCCACATGTATGTCTTCTTTTGAAAGGTGTCTGTTCATGACCTTTGTCCCCTTTTTAATGGTTTTTTTTTTTTTTCTTGTAAAGTATTTTAGGTTCCTTATTGATGCTTAATATTAGACCTTCGTCAGATGCATGGTTTGCAAAAATTTTCTTCCATTCTGTAGATTGTCTCTTCAGTCTGTTAGTAGTTTCTTTTGTTGTGTGGAAGCTCTTAAGTTTAATTAGGCTCCATTTGTCAGTTTTTGCTTTTGTTGCAGTTGTTTTGAGGTCTTCATCATAAAATGTTTGCCTATTTATCTGTCCTGAATCATATTGCCTAGCTTGTCTTCCAGGAGTTTTATAGTTTTGGGTTTTACATTTAAGTCTTCAATCCATCTTGGGTTGATTTTTTTATGTGGCATAAGGAAGGGGTCCAATTTCAATTTTCTGCGTATGACTAGCCAGTTACCCCACCACAATTTATTGAATAGGGAGTCCTTTCCTCATTGCTCGTTTTTGTCAGCTTTGTCAAAGATCAGATCATTGTAGGTGTGCAGCCTTATTTCTCGGCTCTCCACTCTGTTCCATTGTTCTATGTGTCTGTGTTTGTACTAGCACCATGCTGTTTTGGTTACTGTAGCCCTGTAGTGTAGCTTGAAGTTTAGTAGCATGATGCTTCCTGCTTTTTTTTTTTTTTGCTTAGGATTGCCTGGGCTATTCAGACTCTTTTTTTTTTTAAACTTTATATGAACTTTTAAATAGTTTATTTTTCTAGTTCTGTGAAGAACGTCATTGGTGGTTTGACAGGAATAGCATTGAATCTGTAAATTGCTTTGATCAGTATGGCCAGTTTAATGATATTGGTTCTTTCTATCCATGAACATTGAATGTTTTTCCATTTGTTTGTATCATCTCCGATTTCTTTGAGCAGTGTTTTGAAGTTCTACTTGTAGAGATCTTTCCCCTCCATGGTTAGCTGTATTCTTGGGTATTTTATTCTTTTTTTAACAATTGTGAATGGGACTGCCCTCCTGATTTGATTTTCATCTTGGCTGTTGTTGGTTTATAACAATACTAGTGATTTCTGCACATTAATTTTTTATCCTGAAACTTTGCAAAGTTGTTTTTTTTTTTTTTTTTTCTCTTTTAAAATTAGCTCAAGGAGCTTTTGTGCTTAAACTATGAGGTTTTCTAGCTATAGAATCATGTCATCTGCAAACAGGGATAGTTTGACGTCCTCTCTTCCTATTTGGATGCCCTTTATTCTTTCTCTTGCCTGATTGCTCTGGTCAGGACTTACAATAATATGTTCAATAGGAGTTGTGAAAGAGGACATTCTTGTTATGCTGATTTTCAAGCGGAATGCTTCCAGCTTTTGCCCATTTAGTATAATGTTGACTGTCAGTTTGTTATAGATGGCTCTTATTATTTTGAGGTATATTTCTTCGATACCCAGTTTATTGAGGGTTTTTAACATGAAAGGAAATTGAATTTTATCAAAAGTCTTTTCTGCATCTACTGAGAGACAATCACAGTTTTTATCTTTAATTCTGTTTATGTGGTTAATCATATTTACTGATTTGTTTATGTTGAACAAATCTTGCATTCCAGGGATAAAGCCTACTTGATTGTGGTGGATTAGCTTTTTGATGTGCTGTTGGATGCAGTTTGTGAATATTTTATTGAGGATTTTTGCATCGATATTCATCAAGGATATTGGCCTTTTTTGTTGTGTCTCTGCCACATTTTGGTGTTAGGATAATGCTGGCTTCATATCCCTTCTCAATTTTCTGAAATAGTTTTGGTAGAAATGTTAACCAGCTATTTGTACAACTGGTGCAGTTCTGCTGTGAACCTGTCTGGTCCTGATAGGCTATTTATTACTTATTCAGTTTTGGAGCTTGTTAATTGTCTATTCAGGGAATCAATTTCTTTTTGGTTCTGTCTTGGGAGGGTATATGTGTCCAGGAATTTATCCATCTCTTCTAGGTTTTCTAGATTGTGTGCACAGAGGTGTTCATAGTAGCCTCTAATGGTTGTTTGTATTTCTGTGTGGTCAGTGGTAACATCCCCTTTGCCATTTCTAATTCTATTTATTTGGATTTTCTCTTTTTTCTTCTTTATTAGTCTAGCAGTGGCCTATCTTGTTATTTGTTTTAGAAAACAAACTCCTAAATTTGTGGATCTTTTGAGTGTTTTTTCATGTCTTGATCTCTTTCGATTAAGCTCTGATTTTGTTTTTTTCTTGTCTTCTGCTAGCTTTTTGGTTTGCTTTTGCTTCTCTAGTTCTTTTAGTTGTGATCTTAAGTTGTTAATTTGAGATTATTCTAACTTTTTTGATGTAGGCATTTAGTGCTATAAATTTCCATCTTAATATTGCCTTAGCTGTGTCCCAGAGATTCTGGTATGTTGTATCTTTGTTCTCATTAGTTTCAAAGAACTTGATTTCTGCCTTAATTTCATTATTTACTCAAAAGTCACTGAGGAGCAGGTTGTTTAATTTCCATGTATTTGGATGGTTTTAAGCAATTTTTAAAGTATTGATTTCTATTTTGATTGCTCTGCAGCCCAAGCGTATGTTTAGCATGATTTCTGTTCCGTTGAATTTGCTGAGGATTGTTTTATGTCTGATTGTGTGTTCAATTTTAGAGTATGGGCCATGTAGTGATGGGAAGAATTTATATTCTGTTGTTTTTAGGTGCAGGTAAGATCCATTTGGTCCAATGTTGAGTTTAGGTTCAAAATATCTCTGTTAGTTTTCTGCCTCAATGATCTGTCTAATAGTGTCAGTGAAGTGTTGAAGTCTCCCAATATTATTGTGCGGGAGTCTAAGTCTCTTTGTAGATCTCTAAGAACTTGCTTTAGGAATCTGGGTGCCTCTGTGTTGGGTGCATATATATTTATGATAGTTAGGTCTCCTTGTTGAATTGAACCCTTTACTATTATGTAATGCCCTCCTTTGTCTTTTTTGATCTTTGTTGGTTTCAAGTGTGAAAAAAATGATGGTTAGATGCCACAAAATAGGTGGCAATGTCTTAACCATATATGTCTTGTCATGCCTGAGGGCCTCTTCCATCCTTGTCAAGGAGTGTGATAACCTTTTCTCCTTTCACACAACACAGGACAAGTTTCAAGTTGTAATTGGTGCCAAATAATTTGGGATAAAAAGCTTCCTTAAATTTATCAAGAAAAGAGAGAATGTATACTTAGGAGAGTAATATCAATATGTATATGAAGAATAAGAAGGGATATGTTTAGATATTTAAACAGCTAAAAGAATATATAATATAGAAAATTATTATAGATAACATAGGATAGAATTTTGGCAGGAAGTATGGTACAGATTGTAGTTAGTTTGTATTAAGAATAGATTCATCTGTTAATCAGTTAATATGTATTAATCAAATAATAAGAAGAATAAAAGACCATGGGGTATGCTTATCCAGAAAGCTGGATAGTATACTCTTTTGTCATTTTCCTCTTTCTCCCGCTGAAGACCTTCATGCCAGTGTAATGGTTGGAGCATCAGCAGTTCTTAGACCAACTGAGAGACCTTGAAAATAAAGTCATGAATGGAGGACTATAGCAGAAAGGTAGGAGCCTGGATTTCTGAAGACATTGTGGCGCTGTCAGTTTAGACCTAGGTTTGAAGCTTAGCTTCTTTACATAAAAGAAAAAATAAGCTTCTATCATGGTTTAGAAAATCTTATTTTTTATTTCTGTTTTATGCAGCTGAACTTATTCTTTCTGATAAAACTGATTTTGCATCTCCAAGCCTCTTGAATTTTACAAAGTGTTTGTCACTAGTAGGCTTCTAAAGGGAAAGAGAATGGGAAACTGATTTGATGCACTGTCTTTTCAATGCACATCAGTGAGTTGTTCTGCTTTTATATTAAGCAGAGGAAGCATATCGTGAGCACTTAATGAGTTGACTTTTTTGGCCGTTAATGGAAGTATGTGTGGTCATGAAGAAAGATTTTGTAATTAGATACTGACCAGAGGTATACTGAAGCACATTGGCTAGGTTACACTGTAAACCACCAGCATTTCAGTAGCTCAAAGCAATACAACTTATTTCTTGCTCACTATACATGTTCAGCATGATTTGACTGGGGATTCTTTTCCATATAGTCACTCCACACCCTATGCTATCTCCTTTGCACTGCAGGGGAAGAATGGGTTAGAGAGTTGGGCACTGGTATTTACCACTGGTGACTCACATATTCCCTCACATCTCATTTGCTAGAATTAGTTACATGACCATGACTAACTCCAAGAAAGGAAGCAGTATAGGCTTCCTCATACACAGAAGTAGGAAAGATCGGGATATTTAAGAACATTAATTATATCTACTACTCTACTAAAACATAAAATAACCTGTGCAAACACTTTCAATGCACAAATACGTTTTTATCTTTTGTTAAATTAATTTCTTTAGGAAGGTTTTCCTCTAAAAAAAGAACAAAATAAACCATTGCCAGATGAGAATTTCTACAAGATTAATCTCTCTTCGGCAGGTGAAAACACTTTAACTGAGAAATAACAAGTCTCTTTGTTTAAGAAACAGATGAGCACTAAATCTTAAAGATTCACAAACACCCACACAAGTTTATTCATCCATTCATTTTGTAGACACTGATTGAGCATCTGCTAAGTGCGGTTCTGATGAAACCTATTGAAGTTAGAACGCAGGGTGCCAGATTTAAAAAGGGGAAATGGACATGACTCTAAATATTTCTAAAGTTCTTTCTCTAAATAGAATTTTATTCAAAATACAGAAACTACATTATAATCTCCAAATACATTTAGGTTACCAGATAGTTCTTGGAAACTAATTATATTGCTATGATTAAAAATACCACAGTGACATTCATCCCAACTGGGAAACATTTAACAGAATATATTTAAGAAAACACGTCAGAATCTCTGGGAATAAGGTACTGAGAAGACTTTCCTGACCAGCTGACTCTAGCTAGCTGCACACACATTTCATAATAATAACTTAGCAATATGGTTATTTTCCACAAAATAGAAATTCACTGGTTTTTAATGTAAGAGATATCAATCTACTCCTTTTGTTTTCTTACGTGGTATTTATTGAACTGTTCTACATAAAGTATCACTGTATCAGAATCTCCTATGACAGATTAATAATAACATAAGGCAATATTTCAAATATCAAATTGAATAAAATCTCTGATGGGAAACTTCTCAATAGATAGGTTGCCAATTATACTTTTATGTTCTATATGTGTTGGTATAACACTTCTGGAAAGATTTGAAAAAGTATTTCTCCAAATCCGGATTATTTTCTTAGGATAGATGACTTGAAATGGCAATATGAGTTCAAATTTATAAGAACATAAATTTAAAAGAATAATTTCAACACATACTTTCAAATTGTTTCCAGACACAAACTTATACTAATTTGTACTCCAACGTATAAGCACTCTACTGATGGCTCTTTATTTTGGTTAAAAACTTTATCAAAAATTATTCTTTCTTTGCTATTCCATTGCTTTCATCTTGAGAAGGTACTTCTCTATTCAGAAACCATGTTATTACTTACCTATATTTAATTCTAGTATTATGATTTTGTTTTACTCTATTGCCTCCAATCTATTTAAGTAATATTTACTTTATTCCTTTAAACTGTAGGTTCTTGAGAGCAACGACTTTCCTGTATACCTTTAAACAAGAGTCTGTCTCATGGTGGATATGTGTGAATATTTCTAGGATAAATGGGGACTATGATGACTTTTACCTTTTGAACATCTCATGAATTTTCTATGCCTGAACATGATTTTTCAAATCAATTTTGTTTTAGACAAAACAACATTTTAATCTTTTAATTATGAAAACATAGCTATGTTGATTTCATATTTTTTGGTGTGTTTAAACATACAACCAACAAAGGACTAATATCCAGAATCCACAAGGAACTCAAAAAAATCAGCAAGGAAAAAACAAACAATCCCATCAAAAAGCGGGCTAAGGACGTGAATAGACAATTCTCAAAAGAAGATATACAAATGGCCAAAGAACATGAAAAAACACTCGACATCACTAATTATCAGGGAAATACAAATCAAAACCACAATGCAATACCACCTTACTTTTGCAAGAATGACCAATAAAAAAAAAAAAAATAGATGTTGGCATAGATGTGGTAAAAAAGAAACACTTTTCATGTTGGTGGGAATGTAAACTAGTACAACCACTATGAAAAACAGTGTGGAGATTCCTTAAAGACCCCAAAATAGGACTACCATTTGACCCAGCAATCCCACTCATAGGTATCTACCCAGAGGAAAAAAAGTCATTATATAAAAAAGATACTTGCACACACATGTTTATAGCGGCACAACTGGCAATTGCAAAAATATGGAAGCAGCCCAAATGCCCATCAGTCAACAAGTGGCTAAAGAAATTGTGGTATATATATACACCGTGGAATACTACTCAGCCATAAGAAGTAACAAAATAATGGCATTTGCAGCAACCTGGATGGAACTGGAGACCATTAGTCTAAGTGAAGTAACTCAGGAATGAAAACCCAAACATCATATGTTCTCACTTACAAGTGGGAGCTAAGCTATGAGGATGCAAAGCCATAAGAATGATACAATGGACTTTGGAGACCTGGGGGAGTGGGTGAGAGGGGGGTGAGGAATAAAAGGCTATACATTGGGTACGGTGTACCCTGCTTGGTTGATGGGTGTGCCGAAATACCAGAAATCACCACTAAAGAACTTATTCATGTAACCGAATACCACCTGTTCCCAAAAGCCTATTGAAATAAAGAAAAAGAAAGAAAAAAGTCAAAAGAATTCTTCATTAATTATAGTTCAGTTTGGTAGGCAGTATTATTTATCAGGAGACTGTCAACAAGAAAAGATTTTTATTTCAAAATTGAATGTGAGAAAACACTATAAAATTCTCTTTCTTTGCTCTATAGGAATTATGGAAATATTTATCATAATAATCATATAATGACTTTTTCAATCATATTATTTCTAGTTTCCTGAAAGTGCTTGCTTTTTACAATGCATACAGTTTCAATACAGATAAAGAAAGGCAGGCAACTTTCACATAAGGCCTTATACATAAAAAACTTCAATTAAAGTTAGTTTCAGAAGACCAAATTTCAAAAGTTACTCTACAGCCTTAACCTTTGGTAGTTTTACCCTGAATTATATATTGGAATGCTTTTTTTCCCAAGTGACAATTTAGCATTTTATGTTCTTTTTTCTTTTACTGTAAAATAAAGCACAACACAATAATGTATAGTTCAATTAATCCTTATAAGGTGAATGTTCTTGTAACAATCATCCAGGTCAAGAAATTGAACCTCGCCAGCCATCCCAAAGTCCTCCTTTTTTCCTGATCCCAGTTGCCTTCATTTTTCCTCCAACAGGAATCATTGTCTTGACTTAAGTCCATATCATATCTCTGTGTTTCCTTGCAGTTATCACCCAAATGTGCATTCATAGGCACCACATTTTAGTCTTCAAACATTCTACTTCAAAGCTTTAAAAAATGCTGTCTTTGGGCCAATTTCTCCGAAGAAAGATTAGAATGATGGTTTCCATTTATTATTATTATTTATTTTTTGCTAAATAAAGTCTTTAGAAAAGGTTACACCTTTGAGTCCTCCTTGAATGGAATTTACATTGCTCTCACATTCACACAAAACAGAGACAAATTGTAATAACATTCTTTAGAAGAAATTCATTTCAAAAAATATGTTTCAGTGACAGTATTGTCAAAGGGGGCATCCTGACTTTCTACAATTTGTTATGATGGCAATTATGTCTTTGTGTAGACTGCACAAAGTTTCTGTTACTACTAACCAACCTATATACTCATGAAAAAGAAAATGTACATGTTTTAAAAATTAAGGGGCAATGAAAATGTCAGTGAAAAAAGTCAGGTTTTGAGTAGAGAATTTGGTTGAGTCTAAGCCAACAATTAATATAAATGGCACCAATTTCCTTTTCTTGGTGATTTTTTTTAGACAATTTTTTTTTGAGGGGGGTTCTCACTCTGTTGCCCAAGCTAGAGTGGCACTGGCGTGATCATAGCTCACTGCAGCCTTGAACTCCTGGGCTCAAGAAATC